TGTTTTAGTCTTTTGAATATTGTTTAATTATAGTTATCATGCCAGATATCTTAAAGGTTATTTTACCAATACAGTTTCTTTTAACATAACCCATATGGAATCAATAGCCCAGTTTCCTAAAGTGAATGCTTGGAAAATCTTACATTCATATGTTAAGAGTACACATCCTTTCCTCATTAGTTGGAAAGTACAGGGATTTTGGCACAGGTTCTGTGTGGAAGCATTGTGCAGCTTTTATATGGATTTTGTTTTTAGCCTTTGATGACACTGTTTAGAATAGGAAGTATCTAATAAGTAAAGCATTTTGTCTCAAGTGCTGCCAGTGTGTTTAATATATGCCTGGAGGTCTGAAACATTATCTTCTTCACTACAGTAATATGCATTTAATTCTCTGAAAGGAGAAGGTCAAACTTTTAAAAGGGACGCAAAGTACATTTTCAAACAGAATAATTTAAAACATATGGAAGAGGGGACCAGAGTAATGTACAGTTGGTTTTTATGGTTTAATCATGATCATGTTAATGCACACCAGTAGCTAATTAAAGAAAACTTTTATTGTTCATTTTAAATGAGTTAGGTAAAGAGTAGGAGAGCTGATGTAACAGCACTGACCAGAGATACACGTTTCTTCTGCAGTCACTAAGAGCTAGCAGACACTGCTATTTTGACAACTTAAATGATTAGTCCCCTTGGACAGTAATAAAGCAAAAGTTATTTTCAGAGTTTGTACTTTGTGAACTTTTCTTTCCACAAAGGAATAGTAAATTGATGCCCAAGTTTAGAGTTTAGCACATATAATTAATTATAAAACTTCTCTCAATAGCAGGCCAGATACTCTTCAATATAATAGATGAATCTGCAGTAGACTGGTGACAAACCAGTGGGTTTTTAATATGTCTGAAAAATCACCAGCTTATTTATTTCAGTTCTACGAATAGTGTGGAAGCTTAGAAAAGTGGAGGAAATGTTTGCTTTTAACCCAATTTTTAGAATTTAGTTTTCTAGTGTGGGGAAAGTTGTTTTGTTTTGTTTTTCCTTTCAGTAAGGGTCAGAGTCTTTCATCTCTGGGTCATTGATTCAAATTCCATTCTGCTCAGTAGTGACTAGAATTAGTTACCATCTGACTTCTGTTCAGTAACCCACATGACCTGAGCTGATAGCTGCCATCCTGCCCCTGCTGGTTATTTATATCTCAAAATTGGGCCACTTGACATTCACTAGAGTCTAATGTGTCACTCTCAACAAGGAATAGGGCTGGACAACTAAATCTCTTTATCTTTACCTACAGGTATTTGGTTTTGTCACATTAACACCAAAGGGGGAAACAATTCACTTCAAAGAAGGAGAGGCTAGATTTTAAATACAAATATGTAAATCAGAAGAAAATATAATGCTCCGTGCGTGTAAAATATAGTCTCATATAGTTAATTGTGGTTGCCTCTACTGATTGAGAGAATAAAACTAGTTGAGTTCTTGATTTGAGCTTTGCCATTGAACTCAACCTAAAGGATTTTTTTAGTTATGCTGTATACAGATATTTAGTTTATAATGCCTCAAAATGTGAGCAATAAATCCTAGACTACTTCTGTACTTGATTTTATTATTTTTTCACATATTACTTGATAATTCCTAGTTGGTAATAGATTTGGAGGTATATTTGAAATTTTTATAATAGGAATAACTGAAAGCTTTAAAATTAAACTGTCATTTTGATAATTGCCTTAATTTATTTTACTGAATTTTTAAATTAAATATGTTTATTCATTTATTCAGTCAGCACACAGTTATTGAAATCTACTATATAACAAGCGGTATAATGTGTGCTAGGAACAGTAATGGCATTCCCTCTTACCCATAGCCTACTAGCTGTCTGACCTTGGACCTGTTGTTTAATCTCTCCAAGCTTCAGTTTCTTCAGCTATAAAATGGAGGTAACAGTACTCCCTTGAAAAGACTGCCACACTTAGTAAAGAAAATGTGTGTAATGTGCTAACAATGTTTGGCAAATAATAAACATACTCAGTGGTATCTTATTTTTTTAATCTTCAGTTGCTCGCAATCTCTGAGACAGAGCACAGTGTGAAAATGCTATAATAATATTAGTTTGTTATAAAAGCACAGAAGCTGGAAAGACTAGCACCATGTGGAAGGGTTGAAGAAGTCTTCACAGAGAACGTGACTTCTTTCTTTAACTTACCCTTTGTTGAGTGCCTACTGTGTGTGTTCAATACGTTAACTAATTTGATGCTGCAGGAACTCTGTGGGTTGGGTATTAATGTTCCCAATGTGAGGATGAGAACCCATCAGAGACTGAGAGAATTGCTTGAAGTGTGATCAAGCCCCCAAGGTGGAGGATGCAGATCAGTAAAAAGTCCATGCATGTGTCTCGAAAGACCTTAAAGAGTACAGTATACGGGGAAGTCTGTGTCCATGTATATTTACACATTAGCAATCGTGTATTTCTAGTCTGCAGAGCAATTTTTTTCGTTTAATGTTGTATCAGAAACTAACATATCATCAAACATTTATGGAACTTCTCTTCAGTGTAGCAGGCACTACACTACTCTTTAGTGATACTCAGAAGCAAAATGATATGGCCCAGTACCTCCAGCAGCCCTTCAACTGGTAAAAGAGACACACATAACAGCTGCCCATTTTGGGGTATTTACTATATGTCAGGCACTGTGCTGACTTCTTTAGGTAGATTAGTTCATTGAATCCTCATACTAACCCTTTCAGGTTGGATTTATTATCTGTATTTTATACGTGAGATTATGTAGCCTTCAAGAGGTTTAATTTGTCCAAAATGATACAATTAGAAAGTGTTAGACTTGACCCCATCTCTGTCTGACTCCAAAGGCTATAGGTTATTTTAACACTATCTGATACTACCACCACAAAACATTTTATAGAAAATAAAACATACTAAAATAGAAGTATGAGTAAAGTACTAGGATCACCAAGAAGTAAAAGAGTGAGAGAACACTTCTCAGAGTTCGTTTGTTCTGAGTTTTGATAGATAGCTAAATGGTTCTGAGTTTTGATAGATAGCTAAATGGTTGCCAGCTACAGCAAGCTCAGAAGGGGTGCTCCAGGCAGGGAAGTGGTATAGTATAGATAGAGGTGTTTTAAAAAAGGTGGTATCTTCACAGAACACAGACAAGTTGTTTTTGTTTCAAATAGCTAATGATGGATTTTTCTAACAACAATGTATCTTCCTCAACAACTTTAAATCAATTAACAAATGTTATTTGAAAAATTTTAATGACAGATCATTGTCTTGAATTATTTAACAGTCCTTTAACACTTTCACAAGAAACCTATAATAATTTGTAGCATGTGAGAAAATGATACTATATTTACCAACCAAATTAAGGAAGAGCCTGAAAAATGATAAGCAATACCTAGTACTTTGGGGAATATTTTTCCGTTGCTGGTGGTAATATAAAATTAGTGTAGCATTTTTGGAAAGGTGTTGGAGATTTTCCATAACCTTAAACTTTTTCATACCATTTACCTAGTAATTCCACTTCTAGGAGCCTGTCCTAAGGAAATATTATTAGATGTTTGTCATAGATGTTTGTTGGCAAAAATTAAAAATTTGAATGTCCAATTATATGGAAATAGCTGAAAAAATTGTTTCTAACACTAAATGAAATATTATACATCTTTTTAAAATGACATTTATGAAGAGTATATTAGTATGTAAAAAGGGTTACAGATTTGTCTCTACAGTATGATTATAACCATAAAGGGGTGAGGGCGGAGGGAACCTATGTGCAGGTAGATAAAAAAGACTAAAAGGAAATGCACTAAAATATTACCATTGATTATGTTTGGTGATAAGATGGGAGTTGGGGGGATTTTGGTTTTTTCTCAGAGTTTCCTTGGTTTCTTTAGTGAATCTGTGTTACTACTTCAAGAAAAAAACAAGTGAAAGATCTAGGTCTTAAATAGCAAACTGATGGTTAGGAGACCTAAGAAAGGGGGAGACCAAAGAATCAAACTGGAGATTGTGGAGTTGTGCTGCCAAAATGATCATAACTTCCATTGCTACCACGTTGTTCTTTGTTCTCTACATAGGGAGTCATTGATGGGAAATTTTGAGAACTAATAGCCTTTAGTGTACAAAGGAAAAATCCACCTTCAAGGACTTTAATTACTTATGTTTTGCTTGATCACTTACATTTACCGTTGTTTCAAACCTATTGTAGTAGAGGAAAATAAACATCAGTTTGAATGGCATACAATTATTTTAGATTACTTTTCTTTGTCCTTCATAATTTAGGACTACTGAGTTTTCCTTCTCTTTCTTACTATCCAAAACCTGAAAATCAATTTTATAATGATAAAGGTAAACAATGTAAACTACTCCTACTTAAAATATAATTTCAACTAATAGTAATCATGATTTGGAAACAGTTTATTGTACTACTTGGAAAATCACTGTAAAGAATGCTAATTAGTATAATTCTTTAAAGAGGCATTTTTTAAATTATACATTACTTTGTATTAGTCCAAAGAAAGTCGGACACTCAAAAGTAATTTTAAAGATAGAAATGCACATTTGAGGGGTCAGCTCCGTGGCTGAGTGGTTGAGTTCGCGCACTGTGCTTCAGCGGCCCAGGGTTTCACCAGTTTGAATCCTGGGCGCGGACATGGCACCACTCATCAAGCCATGCTGAGGCGGCATCCCACATACCACAACTAGAAGGACCCACAACTAAAAATACGCAACTATGTACCTGGGGGCTTTAGGAGAAAAAAGTAAAAATAAAATCTTTAAAAAAATTTTAAAAAGAAATGCACATTTGATGCTTTTTCTCAAGTATTTCCTTGGCATTTTAATATGAATAATTTTCTTGAATGGGCACCTACTTTGTTTTTATGATTACCGTGTTACAGGTTATACTAGACCCATTTTTAACATATTTGCATAACATCATTTATACAGTAATACTGGGAATGTAACTAGTTTAAAATATAATTTTTCCTTACAGATTTCTAAGCAAGAACAGAAAAAAATGGATACGTTTGATGGAAGCATGGCTGAAACCTCATCTCGGTACAGTGGTGCTCAAGATAGTGGAATTGGCAGTGACAGCGTTAAAATCAGAATAGTGCAAATAGAGCAGCACAGTGGTACCAGTCAGCATCGCATTGCCCGTCCTTCACGCCAATCATCAATTGTAAAAAATCTGAATTTTATTCCTTTTGACATATTTATTACTGCAAGTAGAATCTCACTAATGACCTATTCCTGTACAGCCTTGCCCAAGTCGAAATCACAAGAACAGAAGGATAACGAAAAAATAGGCAAGAGTTCGTTAAATCTCCCAGAAGTTGATGCAGATGTTGCTAAGCCCAGCCAGGCATGTATTTCCACGGTAACAGCAGAAGATCTCTTAAGCAGTAGCGTATCTTTTCCTTCAGGGAAAAAATTAGGGGTCATCTCTCTTCAAAGTCTTCATGCATCCACAAGGTCATCTGCTAGACAAGCACTTGGTATAACGATTGTTCGGCAGCCTGGACGAAGAGGAACTGGTGACTTGCAGCTAGAACCGTTTTTGTACTTTATTGTGTCCCAACCTTCTTTGCTTCTGAGTTGTCATCACAGAAAGCAACGAGTGGAAATATCCATTTTTGATGCTGTGCTTAAAGGGGTCGCCTCTGACTACAAATGCACAGGTAAGAGCAAATTTACTGGAATGCTAATAATTATTACTACATATTAAATGTTATTCCCGAAGTTTCAAGATTGGTCAAACAGAAAACAGCTGGCAGACCAGACAAGCCTTCTTTTCTGTATAGAATATGTAAGTATGTAAAGTTCATGTCCCACAGCTGAATCGTGTTTAAGTAAATGTTTGAAATGTATCAAGGTTTAGCCTTAGCATTTTTACCGTGCCTCTGAATATTTTTTTTTTTCAGGAGCTGAATGAAACAGGGACTCTTTCTGGACAATAGAAATGCTTAACAATTTCCAATGATTGGGAAGCAAAGCTTTTTTTCATATTATTGGCCCATAGGTATACTTTCCAGGTTTATGCATTAGCAATTTAGATTAAAAAAATAAAAACTTTAGAAAATGAAGTTTGTTTCGATATTCTTTTGATTTAATCATCTTGCTGTAGGAGCATGATACTAAATGTATTTGAGAAGGTTTATTAGTAAAGTAAGATGATGTAAAGATTTTTATACATCTACAACAAACACATTTATTAGTGGTATTGGCCAACTGACTCTTGTTGCCCCACCCATACGTTCCTTATAACCAGAGAGCATCCATTATACTAATTCTATTGAACTTCTTCTGAGACTAGGAAAGTGATCAGGGGTTCAGATTTAAGACATACTAGCTATTAAGTAACAAGGGCTAATGGAAACAGGGTCAAACAAAGGATAGAGACCTTTTCCCTGAGTTAGTGGAGAATTAGAGATTTGGCCAGAAAGACTGCAGAGGATAGATGGGTCATCTAAGACTTGGCATTGGCAGCCGGCCCTAGCAAGCTCAGGTATAATGCAGGCATTTAATTGCTATCAGGTGATCCCACCTAGCAGATGGAAGCCAGCAATGAGGCATTTGGAGAATTTGTCCAATCTGGAAGTCAGGCTGGTTCATTCTTGGCATTAAGGAGAACCATTTTACACAGCAGACTCCTGGAGAGTAGGTGGCAGGTGTGAGGATCAGGATTTAGCCTAAGGAAGTAGGATCAAAGGAGCCCTTGGCTCTTGCTGAGGTATACTGCAAGTCTTGTGCTTTAGAAAGGAGTAACTGGCCAGTTGCTGAGGAGGAGTAACCTGGGGTTACCTCCTAGACTGCCTGCTGGCCCTGTCTCCATTGGTGTGCTGGAACTGGCTCACACTGACTCTCAAGAGCCAACTGTTAAATTTTTAAGAACTTTGAAAGACAGCTGTTAAACCACTGGTAGTTTAAATTGGCCATAGTGTGAATATTTACGCCACAGATATTGGCAAATGCTATCAGCCAGCTCTCCTATTCTGAGAGTTAAATATTTACCAGTAACCACTGCCTCCCTTCCCCAAACATGTTCTCATTTATCAGTGCCTGCAATAAAATAGGTACTTTAGGAGCACTGGAGATGGGAGTGGTGCTGAGGTAGTTGATGTTATGTGATTGAAGGACTCATGGCTGTATACCTGATAACTGTTACAGGGTCTGCTTAGCATTGGCCAAAACTAGGTGCAGGATTGGGAGAACAAATCTTAATTCCAAACCCCTCTTTAAGTTCTTTTGGCTGCAGTCACTTTATACGTGGGTGGCTTCAGTGGCCTCTATTAAGAAATATTGATATGAAGTTCAGCAAAGTTATCAGGGCTCATGTGAAAGATGCGTATTTGAATTATAATCATTTCCTAGATTGAAATAATAAAGTACTTTTGTTTAATAAAAAATCCTTCTTTGTAGACCAATGTGGAACCTAATTTCAGTAGATGAAACTTAGAGTGAAAGCAATGGGCCAGATTCAATATAGAGGATTACATGTGGAAGGAAAAAGGATTACATACTTTCTTTTTTTTAAATATTTATTTATTTGTTTTATTGCAGTAACATTGGATTATAACATTATATAGCTTTCAGATGTACATTGTAATATATTTCGAATTCTGTGTAGATTACATCATGTTCACCACCCAAAAACTAATTATACTCCATCACCTCGCATGTGAGCCTAATCACCCCTTTTGCCCTCCCCCCTCCCCCCTTCCCCTATGGTAACCACCAATCCAGTCTCCGTTCCTATGTGTTTGTTTGTCATTGTTTTTGTCTTCTACTTATGAGTGAGATCATATGATACACGACTTTCTCTCTCTGACGTATTTCACTTAGCATAATACCCTCAAGGTCCATCCATGTTGTCACAAATGGCCAGATTTCATCATTTCTTATGGCTGAGTAGTATTCCATTGTGTATATATACCACATCTTCTGTATCCATTCGTCCCTTGATGGGCACCTAGGTTGCTTCCAAGTCTTGGCTGTTGTGAATAATGCTGCAGTGAACATAGGGGCGCATGTATCTTTATGCATTTGTGTTTTCAAGTTCTTTGGATAAATACCCAGCAGTGGAATCATATGGTAGATCTATTCTTAATTTCCTGAGGATACTGCATACTGCTTTCCATAGTGGCTGCACCAGTTTGCACTCCCACCAGCAGTCTACAAGGGTTCCCTTCTCTCCACATCCTCTCCAACACTTGTTGTTTCCTGTCTTGTTAATTATAGCCATTCTGACCAGATTGAGGTGATAGCTCATTGTAGTTTTGATTGGCATTTCCCTGACAGCTAATGATGTTGAGCATCTTTTGCTATGCCTGTTGGCCATGCATATATCTTCTTTGGGGAAATCTCTGTTCAAATATTTTGTCCATTTCCTAATTGGTTTGTTGGTTTTCTTGTTGTTGAGCTGTATGAGTTCTTTGTATATTTTGGATAATAACACCTTATCTGAGATATGGTTTGCCATATCTTCTCCCAATTGTTAGGTTGTCTTTTCGTTTTGTTGATGGTTTCCTTTGCTGTGCAGAAGCTTTTTAGTTTGATGTAGTCCTATTTGTTCATTTTGTTTGTTTGTTTCCCTTGCCCAGTCAGACATGGTACTTGAAAATATGCTGCTAAGACCAATGTCAAAGAGCGTACTGCTTATGTTTTCTTCTAGAAGTTTCATGGTTTCGGGTCTTACATTCAAGTCTTTCATCCATTTTGAGTTGATTTTTGTGCATGGTGTAAGGGAATGGTCTACCTTCATTCTTTTGCATGTGGCTGTCCAGTTTTCCCAACACCATTTATATAAGAGACTCTCCTTTCTCCATTGTATGTTCTTGGCTCCCTTGTCGAATATTAGCTGTCCATAAATGTGTGGGTTTATTTCTGGGCTCTTGATTCTGTCCCATTGATCTGTGTGTCTGTTTTTGTGCCAGTACCATGCTGTTTTGGTTACTCTGGCTTTGTAGTATATTTTGAAATCAGGGAGTGTGATACCTCCAGCTTTGTTCTCTTTCCTCAGAATTCCTTTGGCTATTTGGGGTCTTTTGTTGTTCCATATAAATTTTAGGATTCTTTGTTCTGTTTCTGTGAAACATGTTGTTGGAACTTTGATATGGATTGCGTTGAATCTATAGATTGCTTTAGGAAGTATGGACATTTTGACTATGTTAATTTTCCAATCCAAGAGCACAGAATCTCTTTCCATTTCTTTGTGTTTTCTTCAACAATGTTTTGTAATTTTCCATGTACAGATCTTTCACCTCTTTGGTTAAGTTTATTCCCAGGTATTTTATTCTTTTTGTTGCAATTGTAAATGGGATTGTATTCTTAATTTCTCTTTCTGCTACTTCGTTATTAGTGTATATAAACGCAACCAATTTTTGTATGTTGATTTTGTATCCCGCAATTTGACTGTATTCATTTGTTATTTCTAAAAGTTTTTTAGTGGATTCTGCACCAGTTTGCACTCCCACCAGCAGTCTACAAGGGTTCCCTTCTCTCCACATCCTCTCCAACACTTGTTGTTTCCTGTCTTGTTAATTATAGCCATTCTGGTTTTCTATATATAAAATCATGCAAAGAGTGACAGTTTCACTTCTTCTTTTCCAATGTGGATCCCTTTTATTTCTTTTCTTGCCTGATTGCTCTGGCTAGGACTTCCAATACTATGTTAAATAAGAGTCGTGACAGTGGGCATCCTTGTCTAGTTCCTGTTCTTAGCAGGATAGCTTTCAGTTTTTCTCCATTGAGAATGATATTAGCTGTGGGGTTTGTCATATATGGCCTTTATTATGTTGAGGTATTTTCCTTCTATACCCATTTTATTTAGAGTTTTTGTCATAAATGGGTGTTGTATCTTGTCAAATGCTCTCTCTGCGTCTATTGATATGATCATGTGATTTTTATTATTCATTTTATTAATGTGATGTATCACATTGATAGATTTGTGAATGTTGAACCTTCACTGCATCCCTGAAATGAAACCCACTTGATCATGATGTTTGATCTTTTTAATGTAGTGTTGTATTCAATTTACTATTATTCTGTTGAGGATTTTTGCATCGCTGTTCATCAGTGATATTGGCCTGTAATTTTCTTTTTTTGTGTTGTCGTCGTCTGGTTTTGATATCAGAATAATGTTGGCTTCGTAGAATGAGTTAGGAAGCCTCCCCTCCTCTTCAATTTTTTGGAAGAGTTTGAGAAGGATAGGTATTAAGTCTTCTTTGAATGTTTGGTAGACTTCACCAGGGAAGCCATCTGGTCCTGGACTTTTATTTTTTGGGAGGTTTTGATTGCTGTTTTGATCTCCTTACTGGTGATTGGTCTATTCAAATTTTCTACTTCTTCTTGGTCCAGTTTTGGAAGGTTCTATGTTTCTAAGAATTTATCCATTTCTGCTAGATTATCCAATTTGTTGGTGTATAGCTTTTCATAGTATTCTCTTATTATCTTTTGTATGTCTGAGGTGTCCATTGTAATTTTTCCTCTTCTTCTGATTTTATTTCTTTGAGCCTTCTCTCTTTTTTTTCTTGGTGAGTCTAGCTAAGGGTTTGTCAATTTTGTTTATCTTTTCAAAGAACCAGCTCTTGGTTTCATTAATTCTTTCTATTGTTTCATTAGTCTCTATTTTGTTTATTTCTGCTCTGATTTTTATTATTCCCTTCTTTCTGCTGATTTT